CATTCTGTAGTAGAATGTACAACGGTCGTGTTACTTCCTTGAATCATCTTGTTAACCTTTTTCCACATATCGCCTTTTGAGAGCTTCACCTCCTCGCTGATGTTATCAATCCACATTTGTTTGGACTCTTTGTATGCTTCCATGAAAGCTGCAACTGCCGCTTTCGTCCGTCTCCAGTTTTTGGGATCGCTTCTTTTCCTGTAAATCCTCCTTGCAGTTTTGCATTCAGTCAACAGTATTTTCACCTTTTCGGTGATAAAGGGTTTAGAGTGTAGACAGATCGTCTTCCTCTTGATATTGTCCTCCAGTAGTCAGAAGTAGATAATAGGGGTTAGAGTATAGGGGGGGGGGGGTTCCCCACTTCTGATACTAGGTATTACTATTACTTTAGGTAAAGTCCTGGTACTATCACTACATCAAAACATACCGCGTGTAGACCTGAAAAGGTACCACATATAGTGAGCAGTGCTTGAACAAGAATAAGTAGTGACATCATAGATATAGCATACAGCAGATCTCTATTCTATGGACCTTTCATACACACATTCTACAAAAGATTCTACCGCCATGCTGTGTTTACATTTCTTGCTATAAACTTGAGGGCGCTGTCGTCGCTTGCTCTGGTGTCATTTTCCAAGTACAGGGCGAATCAGCGTCCTAGCCTAACTAGTAGTATTTTTATGGGATGAACATACAGCAATATTTGTCAGTTTAGTAAGTATTAGTATTACTGTACCTGTTAACTTAGTGTTAGACAAGTACTGGTAGTGGTAGTGCTACTACTAGTAATAGTAGATCAATTATTGATTATAAATATAAGTGCAATGGTACTGGTATCAGAAGTGATGATGTCTGATGATCTTGTAACCCGACCAGGCTGTGTGACTAACGTCAATACACCCATACATATTCATATTGTATACGTATTCTAACCCTAGCAATACCGTTTCTTGGAGCTAATGATCTTGTATCTTGACACTCTTGTATCTTGGCTCCCAGTCTCTTGTATTTCACAAGGCACTCGATACATCGAAGTGCGGGGATTATCTAGAGAAAAATTTGTAATGATGATGATGATGTACGATATTATTTAACAATTTGACCGTAACCGGGAACGGCAGTAACGACATGAACCCTATTATTAGTATTAGTATTAATAATAATAGATTAATACACATCATCATCCCATGCAATTAAGCTAACACTGTCACTGTGGCCAGGGGCGTAGCTAGGGTGAAATGGGGGGGGGGGCCTACGCACACAGGCGGGGTGTCTGGGTCTGGGTCCTCCCTTAGCCCGACCAGGCTGTGCGTCCGATTGTCTTCTAACCCTAGCAAGACCGTTTCTCGGAGCATTTTGAAAATGTAGATCGCAGGAGATGGTATTTGAGGCACTTTTGAGTAAATGTACAGCCTTCATTCTTATTACGACAATTATCTTTTTAGTAGAACTATTCTCTTTCATATATATATCGTTATATATCGTTTATAAGTATAACTAATCATGTAATTTTCGTTTTATGATCAAGACATGTTGAACTAACGCACATTCTTTCTTTCACTCGCTCCCTCTCTGTGTGCAATCGTTCGTGCATTCGTGCGTGCGTGCGAGCGAGCGTATGCGGGTGCGTGCGTGCGAGCGAGCGTATGCGGGTGCGTGTGGACACGTGTGTGTGCTCAAACACACACATCACTCATTGCACATCACAGCGTTGTGATATGTGCAATGAGCACATATATATATATATACACATAGAGGGCATGATATGTGCACATTGTCATATATTCAATGTGTAGGGGTGACCACCGCTGGGATGAGGGCGACAGCAAAACTCTTTCTTGGAATTGTGAAAAAGCTGCACAAGGGTTGTAACCTGCTTTGCCACTCAATTATACCTATGCAGATGACGTTTTGTACAGCCGCCCGACCCGTGGCGTCGCAGGATTTCGAAAGGGAGGTGTTAGGAGCTACGCGAAGGGTGGGTCTGGGGGGCTCTCCCAAATTTTTTTGACATTAGCACCAGAAGATCGTTTCTGCATTGCGGCATGGGTTGACCTGACCCCCCCTGTACACGTCCTGGAACTGTAGACTCTGGATTCCGTGTGCGCTATCTGCCATGGACGTGGGTCCAGGGTAGAGTCATGATCATCAGGCTGCCCCGGCGTACGCAAAATATTTTGCGTAAATTGTGTGGACGCACGACGTTGCTTAGTTGCGATTTATCAACGCAGTTATTTAGTAGAATTTCGCGTACAATTTCGCTACGCAAGCGGGCCGTGTTGTGCATTATCAAGTATAAATTTACTGTAAACTTGCGCGTAGGGGTTGGTATGTGTAGCAGAGAGAGAGAGAGAGGTGCTGTGGGTTGTGGGTGCGTGCGCTGTGCGTGTGGTCTGTGTGTGGCGTGCAGTGCGTGCGTGCGGCGTGTGTGTGTTGAGGAGAGCAGGGGGACATGTGCTGTTTGTGTTGTTGTATGTGACAGAGAGAGAGAGAGATGATGGAGAGAGAGAGAGGGATGACGCGGCGAGCTGAGAGAGAGAAGAATGAGAGAGAGAATAGAGAGAGCGAGAGAAAGAGGTGTGCTGTGGGCTTGCGCGCGTTGTGGGGTGCGAGAGGAGAGATGAAGCTGTGCGGTGATTGTGCTGCGATGCTGTGCTTGGCACTATGTGTGGTGCGTTGGGTGCGTTGCGTGGTGCGTGCGTGCGTGTGACGTGCGTGGTGGGCGTGCCGTCGCAGAGAGGTGGCTGTTTGTGCTGCAGTGTGTTTTTTAGTAATCAACTTACTTATATCCATACTGTCACTTAAGACAGTCCGACAACGTTGCATAAGGCTACTAGCTTTATAAAAGCTGCGTTGATAGCTAGAGTAGATGCTATAAATCGTGTGAATTTCTGATCTCACTGATGTAAACACTCAAGTCTATGACTAATATGTGTTGGAGTGCAATCCAATTCTGTCCTCTCATTTAGTTACAATCACGTTCGCGGGCATGCAGCTAATCGATTTTGTGTTTCTATCTCATTTCATTTGTTGCCACTCTTACTGCGTATAGGCTCCTTGTTATTACGCTCGTGATGTGCGGTGTTTTACAAATACTAACTTAAGATAAACAGGATAATAGGGCCTTCTGTTCTCTCTCCTCTCTTTTCCCTCTTCTCTCTCTTCCTCTCTCACAACCTCTTCCCTCTTCCTTTTTCTCTCCCTCTTTTCTTTTTTCCTTTTTTTAAAGTTTGTTTGGACAGAGCAAGGGGGTGTTTAACACCACACCCCCCCCCCTGGTACGCCAGGCGCAGACTATTTACAAATATTTGTTAGTCCACAGAGGAGGGTAAGCTAGCAACCCATCCACCCCCCTAAATTCCGCACTATTGTTATAACAATTAGACTAACTGACTGACTTTCTCTCTCTCTCTCTCCCCCCTCTCTCTCTCTCTGCAATAAAAAAAAAAGTTTGGTGAAATGATGTGTACGCAACTGCGTATCTGCGTTATGGTAGCTACGCCCCTGGTGGCCAGAGATCAGAAAGCTGCTGTATCAGGGTGGTACGCCGTACGGCTACACTAAGAATGGCAACATGGATGATGGGGTGGGTCTCTATTCAATTTCTAACTTCTGAGCTCACAAAACGGCGAAACAATCACAACCTTATAGAGACCGTGCTGTAGTATTAGCTTTAAAACTCAAGATTAACATTAAAAAATAATAGCATTGCTATTGTCAACTTGCTCATCGTATTTCTGTCTTCTGGTAGCCCTAGCCACAGCTGTCTTCTTGCTTCTCATTACGTGTAACAGTCGTAGAACCTGGTCGAGCTACTGTACTGGTAGCCACTGCATACACCCAAGACATCTTTTAATGCTAGTAAATGCCTATTACTGATGCAGTACATCACCCAGAATAATCACTGAACCAATGGGGTTGAAATAGTAGAAGGCTTCGATCATAAGGAGTCTAAAGAAAAATATCTTTACTGAGCAGTTTCTAAATGCTGTCACCCACCAGCAAACATTGCCTAATCCTGCTATGAAGAGTTGGGTTATGCTCCTGGATAAAGAAGATGATACTGACATGAGTACAAAGGCAAAAAATTATACATTATAGCGAATTCGACTAATGTGATTGGCATTCATTTAGCATGAAAGTAATATTTTTTTAAGTTTAAACAACTAGATCTGAGCAATGTTTACCATCTGAGATATGTGTTAATTGTTTTTCAGAAGTTTACCGATAGGTTAACATTGCAACAATGGCGGAAAAGGCGATGAAGCTCGGGACCAGGGTCGAAGTCATTGGCAAGGATGTAGTTGGAGTCGTTGCCTACGTTGGCTCGACAATGTTCTCTAGTGGGAAGTGGATAGGTATAGAAATAGCACCTGTGTTATTGTTTAAGCTATAGGGCATCAGCCATACGGCAGTTACTTGTGGTACGGTGCTCGCGGGGATTTTTTTTAGAAGTGATGAGGAAGGTAATACTTTTGCTTTAAAATTGATTATGTAAGACTAAGGCTATTACATTCATGTATAACTTTAGAAGACGAAGCTTATCTTCTGTCATTCCATTGTTCCATGAATTAATGGTACTCTGCTCATGCCAGTGCCCAAAAGCAGTAAGATGACGTATTTCCGTGACATACACCATAGTCTTAATGAACATCAATTGGCTTTATTTTAAATTGAACGCTTAATTCTTATCATAAATGAGAGCTATATATTGCATGTGGGTATATTGTTTTAACTGTCATTCCGATATCTTCAGAGTTGAAGGGATACTAGACTCTAGAATTTTACTGCATACAACTGTACTTACTGTATAACAAATCGTCTATGCCCACACGTACTTGTTACCAGATACCTCATTTAATTGTTATAATTAATTATACATCAAATTTGAACGGTGCCATTGACACCCGCGGCCGTGCTGCCACGCTGAAAAAGTTGTGCATTTCCCAATATATTTTGCACGTTACAGACCGAGGGCTAATCACAAAGGTGCAATTATATTTGTACCTAAATGCTATTTAACTGAACAATGTTCATTTTAGGACAAATTTATCCATAATATAACTGAAACTATATGTCGTTTATAAGATATTACAATCCCTTTGCTTTTAAATTAATAAATAAGAAACATCCTCGGTCTGTAGCCCTTGGCTGAAAAGTTGTTTTGCGCAACTTTTCAGATCGTGCGCTTTGAGTGGCGCCATCGTCGTTGTAATTAAACTGTAGTCGTTAGTTTTAAAACATTAAAAAAAAATATTTCTAATGGTGATTGAACCATGAAACTTTATGTAGCATAATTTTAACCTAAATTAACTGAAAATCTAGAGTAAAGGATCCCTTTAATTACTTCATCGTGTGTCTAATCCCTGCACTAATAAAAGGCATACATGCAACACACCTTACACATAGCTCATGTCTATTTGGTACATTCAAGAATAACATCTATATATGTTTAGTTCAAGTTTGATTCATTCTCTAGTGCAGTTTTGTGCTGCGTACACACATCTTTGCATGATATGCGTTCAAAACCATGACTGTATTTCTCAAGCTATAATAGCTTGCTTATCATAACTGATGCTTGATTTATTATTGTGGTGCATGTTTTACATTTAAGGTATTTTCTTTAACTTTTATTATGTATATTCCATAAGGTGTGGCACTTGATGTGCGAAAGGGGAAAAACAATGGTGTAGTCCAAGGCAAGAAATATTTCACATGTCCTGAAAACCATGGAATATTTGTAAGGCAATCACAGGTAGGCTGTTCGCTAGTATTACACAAAAAGTTAATGATGATTAAACTTCTTGTTAGTGCATTACTATTCAAAACGGAATTATTATGCATTGAAAACAAGTGTCTGTAAGAAGTTTAGTTTTATTACGAATGCTATGTTCTTGTAACTCCTGTTTGTGTATAGATCACTGACCAACAGGTTTGTCATGTGAGATAGTAATTGATTCATGTGTTTGTTACATGGCAGAGGTATGAGTTTTTGCTTATGGGCTACTGCAGGCATATTATTAATTGCAGCTGAACGTGTTGAATGGCTCGGAGGCCCCGAGTCCTGCTGCTAGTGAAGGTGACTTGAGTAAGAGCCTAGAATCGAGTCAAGAACTCAAACCAAAATCAGCTGCTGCTACACCTGGTAAGTTTTGCTTATCATTGCAAGTATAAAACTGAGAATAATTTAATAGTTTTCAGACTATTTCAAGTTAACATATATTTTATTTTTATTTGATAGGAATTTACATCATTTTTCTTGTGCATATCATGAAGACTGCCATCAGGTTGTCAAGGTTAACAGTTGATAGTGTATTGATTTCTAGTTTGTAGTAAATGAGGTTGCAGCCTAAAGAGGTCTTAATTAAACTAAAAACAACACTAGTGGCTATAGTTATGCTGACTTTTGGATAAATTAACGATAGACTTTATTCTGCTTATTTCAGATAGACCATCAAAAATTCCATCAAAGGGTTCCTCTCCATCACCAAAAGATGTGAAACCTAGCCGAGAGGCGAAAAGCCTAACTTCGTCTGTTGTTGAGGTATACACCTTAGGTTTTTACTAGTCTTTTATAATGTTAAACGCATTTTGTTATTAGATGTTGGCCAGAGAGATAGTGAGGTCGAAAGAGAGAGAGAGAGAGAGAGAGAAACCAGAAAAATAAAGAGAGAGAGAGAGAGAGAGGCCAGAGCATTACAGATAGAGAGAAAGACAGAGTGAGAGAGACAATGTGAGACAGAGAGGGTGAAGACAGAGATACATAGTGAGACAGAGGGATGTTAAGGCAAAAAGAGCAAAAGAGAGAAGGAAGGGGAGAGATACTAGAGAAATGGAGAAAGAGAGAGAGAGAGAGAGAGAGAGAGAGAGAGAGAGAGAGAGAGAGAAAGAGAGAGAGAGAGAGAGAGAGAGAGAGAGAGAGAGAGAGAGAGAGAAAAGAGAGAGAGAGAGACTGCGAGTAAGCATGCGAGAGAGAGAGAGGGGAGAGCTGAGTAAGGGAGAGGGGCATGATGTGAGCAAGGGAGAGGGGGGGAACGTGGAGGGGGAATGGGATGCCCTGACATGAGCATGCAAAACTATATACAAGCATGCATACACTGCACGAACATAAAAATTCGTGGTTTTCCCCGGCCGCATATGTTACCTCCAAGCAAAAGCTCGTGCACAACCAAGCACCTGTTTATGCATGCTCTGGAGGATTGGATATACCTGTGTGAACTTGTGACACTATCGTTGAGGAAAAAATGACTTTATCTAACATTTATTTAGTAAGTTTGTTGTGAAGTGTAATGATGCAGTAAGTGTGACTTCAACAGGGTTTCTTAAAGCCACACTATGCGCATCCAAACGCTAATTTCTCCAGTACTAGACTAGCAAATACTTCGTGTCATGCATAATCACACTATCTTATGGCAAAATAAACTCTAGTTCCTCCCATTGCACTGCGCGTTTGCTTAAAACCCACAAGAAAGAGGTGCGAAATCTGGTAATCTGGCGCCAACGCCGACTTGTTTGCCAAACAATTTAGCCTCGAAGCGGTTAGGGGACGTCACATGTTTTTATCTTTGCTACACCCGTACTGCTGTACCGCAGCACCGCTGCATGGTTGCTTGGGAGAGCAACGCGAAACTGTCAACAACATCGGAGAATTTGAACAACATTGGAGGTATTTTCAAATGCCTTTTATAAGACAACGTGCAGTGAAATGGGAGGAACCAGAGTTTATTTTGTCATAAGGTAGTATGATTCTGCATGACACGAAGTATTTGCTAGTCTAGTACTGGAGAAATTAGCGTGTAGATGCGCATAGTGCGGCTTTAATGGAAATCGCTATGCTGAAAGTGCCACATGAATTGGATATATACATTTCAATGCTATATAGACTGCAAAAAATTGTCAATGTAAGCTGTTTTTGTTTCTTTAATTCTGTATGAAACGGTGCTGATATGCAAGTGGGCTTTTATTGATTGTTCCATAAATTATATTTTTGTGTTATTTTATATACTGATATTTTCTGGTGATGCATTTTAGCTAATAAATTGATGTTCGTTATAAAAATTAGATGGATACCGATGCTGCCATCTCCAACCTTCAAGGAAGCACAGCTGTCATTGCTGATCAGCTGTCAGTACTGCAGCATCAACAAGAAATTGAAAATCTAACATCAGAGATAAAAGATCTGAATGAAAAGATGGAAACACTCAAGATTAAACGAACGGAGGACAAAAATAAGCTCAAGGAATTCGAAAAAGTTAAAATACAAATGCAGCAGGTATATATGTAAATGCATTTTTCTAAATGCTATTGGTTTTGAGTTAATGTAATCACAATTTATTTAGGTTTTATCCATGCGTTGAAGTGTATAAAGTGGGACAGATATAGAGTAGTTGGATCATATGTACATATCCTTATCAAAAATACCAACCGTATTACACATTCTAGTATATATCATATGTCTTGCATCTATTGTTTGACTGAGTTTATAACAGAGTGTGGTATGTACAGTATGTGATAAAACACCTTGACTGCTAAATGCATTGTGTGCAAGTTCATTTGTAATCAGTTCTGAGCAAGGCCATTAAGCACAGAATAAAAAAATTCTGATGCATTCATTGAGGACTGGAGCAAGTACAATTTCAGGCTAAATATTTACGCAAGATTCTGCCAAACGTACTTCTCAGCTTGTTGAATACAAAACCAAGATGCAAGAGGCGCACGCAGAGCTTAATCGGCAGCTGCAGAACGCGAAGAAGGAAGCGAAGGACGCTGTGGAAGCGAGAGATCGCCATGCCGACGAGATGGCAGACGGAGCCGAGGCTCTTGAGTTGGCGGCTCTGGACAAGGAAATGGCCGAGGAAAAGGTGTGTGACTCATCCTGGTGGGGGAACATGGAAGTGTGGAGGAGAAGGAGAGGTGGGCTGGTGGTTAGGACGTGGAGCTTTGGACTAAATAGTCTGGGGGTTGAGCTCTATATTGGTCACTGCTGCGTGCCCTTGAACAAGGTGCTTTATCTGGATTTGCTTTAATTGACTTTACATGTGCTGTAGCAATATGTTTAGAGTGCTGGGGTTAGGGCTAACAGCCTCACCATGCTGCCATGTAAACGCTGTAATAAAAGCTTGATATTGTGCAGGAACTCCGATGCACATATGAAAATAGAACTAGAGCCACATGTAGGGAGTCTAAAATCCACGTTTTTGCATGTGTAGGAGTAAAACCGATGGTTAACTTAAATAGTCTGTAATCACCTCCAAAATGTGGTGTAAAATTACTATCTGTTATGACATCACACGGATGCATACTGCTCACTTTAAATCTGCATAAGTGCAATGATTTGAGATAGTTCTGATAGTCTAGGTAACGCTAGGAAGTGTGAAACGTGTTGTTTAATATGAAGCAGACCATTTTGCAAGAAAAAAACGTTATGAATAGCATATTTTGGGAAACCATTTTATTTTGTGTTTACCATTGGAGCCGATAAATGGAATAAAAATCGTAACCATAAAAAACAAGTAATCTGTCCGAGGGGGCGGCAGGAGAGGATCATTAATCAGACAGCATATATTCTTTTTAACAACATTTAAGTGTTATATATATAGCATTTGAGGCACTACTCACACTCTAGCTGCTTCAATTTATACATTACCAGTCAGAGCAGTTACAGGCTGAAGTCGATCAACTGAAGGAGAAGTTAGAGGAAGTGACACTGGATTACGAAATCATGAAACAAGAAATCAGTGACCAGGGTATGAAGGTTTTTGTTTGTAAATTTCTACCTATCGAGCGGCTGTGGTTTTATTGTGCGAGGCCAATTATGCAAGACCTTTTCTGAGTAATTATGTGACGTCTGCCTTTTGTATCCAAGTATTGGTATGTCAACTAGAGGAAGCACACTTTCTATGTACCATCTTTCCAATTGCAGGTAAAGACAGTGTTGCCACTAGTTACCAGGTTACACAGATGGGGCAGCAGATGGAGCGGCTAAAGGAAGCATTGGTCAAGTAAGTATAGATATGCTGACATTATATGCGGCAATTATTTGATTCTGTGGAAGAATGACTTACTGGAAGATATTTTGACTTTAGTTTGAGAATGGTTAGAGCTTTTATATTATTCCTGACTTTATTTTGAAAAAACTAATTGAGAAAGGATCATAGGACTGTCATTGTAATGTGATATAACTTGATGTTCCTGTTAAAAAGGAGAGCATTACTGAGTGTGCTTTTGTTTAACTAGTCGTACATAAATGGAGGCTCAAATCAATTATTAACAAAACGGTTCTTTTACAAACAGCTGGATAGGATTCGAATAGCATCTATCAATTCATCTGGTGCACTATAAACCCTTTACCATTGACTCAGAGTTATGTGGTTATGTACTTGAACTGAGCCCTCTCTTGTATTCAGTGCATAAAATTTGGAAGTATTTTGATCAGGCCAGTGGTCTAGCCGATTGAATAATCTACCCGACCAAACGTTTACTAATCCAAGCATAAATAGGTTGATAAGTGATGCCTTAATAAGATAATAAGAATATGACTCATGTTATTATGTCATGTTATTTGGGATGGGGGTAAACCTTGGTTGTATCCACCCAAATGTGTTACTCATACTGGCACTGCAGGCGGGTGGGCATCGATGTTATTGCTTGTATATATTACATCGGTGATGTTTGTGACTCGCATCTGTGAAATTGGCTAAGTGAGCGTATCCCTTTTACGCGCGATTATTGCATCGGTCGTCTCGCTGTCACCCGGCAGGATGAGAGATTTCTCGCAGCAGGAGAAGGTCGAGCATCAGCGCGCGCTGAAGGAAACCGAGAAGATGAAGCACACGCTGACTGCGCTCACTAAAGACAAGGAGAAGCTGACGGGCGAACTAGCCGAGGCGGAGAGCCAGCTTGGCGAACTGAAAGAACAGGTAAAATATTCGTTAAGAATGACGGCGTAGTTCCGTCGCAAGTTGTTCGTATAGAAGCAGGTTAATCTTTTCTGACCATGAGTCAGGTGGAGTATGTACTGTAGATCTTGAAGTTAGTAGAGTAAAACTGAACAGTATCCGGTCTGTAGCAGATGTGAAAATGGTTAGATGAACCCGTTGCGAGTACCAGACGTCAAAATTAGTTATGTATTGCTAACAGTTCGTTGCTAATGTGGCATCAACTATCTCCACCGAATCCCTAGAAGTTAATCCAGTGGAACCACACACCGTAGTGCTAACCCATGCCTCATTTACCACCAAACTGACTGCTTCTGGGCATTTGACAGATGAACCACACCATGTAAAGATAACCCTAGCTGCGCGCACCCTGTCGTTACAGCATCCACAAATAGAACAGTGGAATCACACCCTGTAGAATTCATACCTCCTGTTCTGAATTGAAACGTGAATGAATTTTGAAAATGTTTAACGTATTACCTGACTGAATTTTTATTGTTGTGATCTCTCTCAACTTTCTGGCACCATATAGGTGTGACTAGTCGTCGTAATATGAAGCTATGTCATGCTCAGTGCCTTGGCTATCATAATCATTGTAGGTGGATGCAGCATTGGGAGCTGAAGAAATGGTCGAAACGTTAGCCGAGAAAAATCTGGCGCTGGAAGAAAAACTTCAGGAGATGGAGGAAACCGTTGCAGATTTGGTACGCCTGACTGAGTGCTGTTCGTTTGTAGACATATTGATTAGTTGCACAGAATTATTCGTTAAGTTATGCATCAATAGAAATTGTAAATGCAATTTAAGTCATATGTAGTCAGTGAAATTACCAAGATCCGACTAAGATTAAATGGAGATTAAGATCCGTGGAGAAAAATCCTTCCTTGATGTTTTGTACGTAACGCTGAATAGTTGTATAGATGTGTGTTGTGGTGTTGTGTTGCGAAGATGTAGTGCTTTGTGATTGCAGGAAGCTCTACATGAAATGAACGAAGAGATGCAGGAGAACAGCAGAGACACTGAGCTTGAGATGCGGGAACAGCTAGACCTTTCTAGACAAAAGATTCGAGAGGTAATGTAGGGAAATTGACTAACATGTTAACTTTATTCCGTTGAAGTTGAACTCTTGTTGTATAGGGGCTTTGAATGCATTGTGGTTGTGGTTGTTGTTGTTATCCAGCTAGTGGAGGTAGTGCTGGTGGTTATCTCCGATAATGCACGACTTTGTGTACAGAACGATTGCTTCCTGTTGCTGTTTCAATTGTTATTTATCAAGTTAATTCCATATCACAGTATTGGCTTGATTACCTGTTTTAATCCTATAGCAACTTGAATGTCTGACTGTCGCGATTACTATTTAGATGGCAGTGAAATTACAGTTATACTTTTAGTGTCCACTGCACCAACAAGCGTGGCTGAGAGATTTGTGAATGGAATGCTGAATATCTTTCCTATCTGTTTGACATGAGGGTTGGGGTTGGGATATTTCTCTGCATCTATCAGGTTATCGAGAGAGTTGAGGCTGAGATACATCTATCAGGCTGACAAGAAGGTTGAGGTTGAAATATGTGTTTATATTTATGAGGCTGACAAGAGGCTTGAGGTTGACATACATATATTATGTAAGAGTTAAAAGCCAACTCCTATTTCTGGGGGCGAGACGTATGTTTATTGCGACCTGATAACAGAACAGAGAAATCATATCAGTGTGATGATCAACGTTTCATACAACACATCGCACACACGCGCTCACGCACACACGTCGCACACACGCGCTCACGCACACACGTCGCACACACGCGCTCACGCACA